TTTGGAGAGACTTTCCTCCAGAGGAAGGGTACAGAGGTAGACAGAGATCTTCAGCTTCAGGAGAGGGAGGAAGTTCAGAAGGACGTGGGCAGAAACGGTCTAGGTGCTGTGGGAGCAGAGCTCCAGCACAGCCACTGGGAGAGACCTACATGGGATTGAAAATCCAAGGGAAGTATAAGATTGAGCTCCCAGGCTGCTCAGAGAACCATGGAGGAGAGCTGAAGGGAAAGCTGGCACTGTGAGCTGCAGGCAAAAACTGAGGGAGCCTTGCTGTTGAGACTGCACCTGGTAGAGTTTGGGGTGAGCAGTGATCTCGTGGAAACGCCAAATCCCTCTGAGGTGCAAGGTCTGGCCCCTCAGTGGGTATGGGAAGGAAGGGCCAGAGTCAGCAGGATGGAAATGGCAGCCCTGAGGAGAATCCGTGGCCCTGGCTGCTCCAGGCCTCCTCGTCAAACTGTGACGAGGTGGCCAACCAGAGTCTAACGCAGGGACAGACACTGGCAGAGCTTCTCAAGCCCATGCTAGGTCATGCTCCACCCCTCATCTGTTTAAACAAACATTAGCAGAAGAGCGAGGTGGCCAAGGAATGACTATAGGCAAGGTCTGAGGTGTGCATCTGGTCTCTCTCCAAGTCTGTGACCGAAATAGAAGGCTAAATATATCTGCAGTTGAGGACTGAGGTGTGCTGTCCAAATTAAATAAGGATATACAACCCAGGAATGGCACGGGGAGTACTGGGTTAGGCCTCATGCTTACAGGCAGGTCTGTGCTGAGGCAGCACCTATGGCTGCTTTCTGGAGCTGCTGCAGCAGCATCTCCCTAATTCTCCCTTCAGCTCTATGAATTTTGGCCCCTCATTCTGCCTTCCAACAATCATTCTTAAAGCAAGCTGGGGGAAAAACAATTGTTCATCTTGATGCAAATCCCATTCTTCTTCTCACTACCTTCCTGGTAGAGAAGCACAACCATCCTTCAGGTCTATAGGCTAGGAGGAAAGTCTTTTGGGCATCCCAGCAGTGACCGCATTCTCCTGGCACTGGAGGCAAAGCCCACCTCTGCCCATGTTCCACAGAAGGTTTGAAAGCTCCTTTCAGTACAGCAGGACCTAGAGGAACTGGCAGGATTGCTGTGGCTGGCACCAGGGCCCTTCTGCACCTTCTGGAGCTGCGGCCACCGGGCCTTTTTGCAGCAGAATGTCCCCACGGCCAGCCAAGTCACCAATGGTGCCCACAGTGTTGATGCGTGTGCTCCTGAGCTCCCCAGCACGCAGGGATGTTAGGTGGCTGAACCTACTTGTGCTGTTTTAAGGGTTCTGGCAAACGTTCAAGAACAAAAGCTAAGACAGCCAGTTCTCATTTGTGGGCACGTCCCTACATTTCAATGTGGCAAACCTTGTGATTTAGCAAGTGAGAGCCTTCTGCCCCAGGGCTGTTAAAAGCTTTTTTATTATTATTGTTATTAAAAAAATAAAAATAAAAAGAAGAAAACAAACCTGTCAAGACTTCCAAGAAAACACAAGCAAGACTCGAACCAGATTTCTGAATATGCCCACATGTAGGGAAAACTGCAGGCCAAGAGCTTGGTCCTTTGAAAGCTGCTGGGGGCTTTTTGTTGTTGGTTTTTTTTTGACATGTTTGCGCTTATGAAGAAAGCAAGAAGGATTGCCAGAGGCTTTTGCTGCCATTGTGAATAACGTTTAGTTCTGATACCATTTCATGCTTTTTTCTCAAAATTGAGTACCATGCTGTCTGCAGTGGAACACGTTGGCTCATAGGACACCACTCATCAGTGGAAAAGGACAGATTTAGAAAACCCATTCATAACAGTTTCCACAGCGGCGGGCCATGGAGCTGCTGAGTGGCAGGGTGAGCCTGAAGGGCAATGCACCCAGCCGTCCCCACATGAGGGAGGCAGCAGGGCTCTGCAGGCCTGTGTGGTCACGAGCCCACTCATGTCACGAGTGGCACTGTCCTTATGTGGCAGGAGAGTGACCAGCCACTTCCCTGAGGCTCTAGGGCTGTTTGTCCTTTGGCACACTTTGCCCACTTTTTGGCACTCAGGACATCTGCCTGTCTCCTTTCTGCAGCTGCCACGTCCTCCCTACTCCCATCCCCAGTATTGTGGTTGTTGCTTTTCCCAACCTGCACCAGTGTCAGTGCTGGAGTGGGGGCACTTCAATGGGGCTGGGCTGGGTATGGAGGGGACGTCAGGTATTTATTCCTGTGCAGACAGCAGCAGGGGACACCTCTTCACTTGGACCTCACCACTAGCTGGTAGGGAGCCTGCCCCTGGAGACCTGGCTGTGTGGGTCAAGCTAGGCACCTCAAGTGAGAAAAACAGCATGGGTACCATTCTCCTTAATCCATACACATGGTGATGTCAGCAGCAGAGATCTGTGGCACGCCACCCCGCTGCCAAGCTGATACCCAGAAAGCCACGGAGCAATCTTCCTCTTTGTTTTACAAACAGGTACAGCCTTTTGAAGCAGTAACATATTTATTGCAAGAATGAAAGACAAAAACCAGAAGTCTTTGCCAAGAGCAAGTGAAATGGGCATGCCTTTCAAACAGCTACCACAGGACCGATTACCTTTCCAAGTAATTAAACATTGTGAAAGGTTATTAACGTGCTGATAATAGACAGCTTTGCAAACTGCCAGCACAGCACGATCTAGCAGAAGGCACTCAGCAGAGAGATGGAGCCCTCACTCCCTGGGGGGCTTGGCAGAGCCCCAGCACCCCGAGAGCTGCATGTAACTCAGCCGGGCCTGGCTGGATGCAGCCACTCCAGACCCACGTCTGAACAGTGGCAGGGATCTCCCTTGCTGGCAGAGAAGGGAAAGGTGGTCCGTGGGCATCCTCCCAGTGTTCCCCCAGGCAAAGTAGCAGGTGTCTGCCAAAGCCTGGGCCTGCCCATACAGGTTACCAACTATAGTTGCTCTTCAAACCAACTTGCATCCACAAACATCTCTTGCTGTGAATCCTCTAGTTTTTTAGTGTGTGTTATTAAGCCTGCTTTGAAAGTGGGCTAAGCTGTAGAGTGGGTTTGTGGCAACCACACAGGTGGGGATATATGTGGTGATGCAGATAGGGATGCAAGTAAGGATGCAGGATGCAGGAAGGAATGCAGGTGGGGATGCAGGCAGGGGTGTAAGATGCAGGCGAGGATACAGGCAGCGGTGTAAGATGCAGGCAGGGATGCAGGATGCAGGCAGGATGCAGCTGGGGATGCAGGATGCAGGCAGGGGTGCAAGCAGGATGCAGTCGGGATGCAGGCGGGGATGTGGAATGCAGGCAGGACGCAGGCAGGATGCAGGTGGGATGTGGGATGCAGGCAGAAATGCAGGACACAGGGAGGATGCAAGCAGGAATGCAGGCAGGATGCAAGCAGGAATGTAGGATGCAGGCACGATGCAGGCAGGCATGTGGGATGCAGGCAGGACTCAGGTGGGATGCAGGGTGCAGGCGGGATGCAGGATGGAAGGAGGATGCAGGCAGGACACAGGCAGAACAGAGCCAGTGCCTTCAGAGAGTGCTGTGGCTTCTGGGCCAAGGAGGAATTGAGGGAAAGGAAGAGGCAACAAGAGTGTTTTGTCTGGATCAGCTCCTCGGCAGGGGGAAGGTGCGTGGGTAAACAGTGGTGCCACTAACTCCAGCACGGAGCTGCATGACAGAGACAGCTCTTGTCCAGAGCAGCCACCTCCTGGCCATCCCCTCAGACCACAGACGGAACAGCTCTGCTCTCCGCGTTTCCATACATAGCACCGAGGGGAAGAAGGCGACGGCAAAAGCGCGGGTTGTGGTGGAAAGATGGAATAACATCCTGGGCGAGAGCATCCTCGGAACTCTCAGAGCTGCCTGGCATCGGGCGCGCTCAGGATGTTTTGCTACGCTCGGTGTTGTTGGTGTCATACTCTGCATTACATTAAAAGAACTTTGCATGTGGGTCGGGTGCACCCCCAGCTTCCAGGTCACCCCCTGCTCCCAGAACGCCAGGAGCCGGCGGGAGGTCACTATGGGATGCGTTTACAACGGGGCATCTGAGGAGTGCGACAGTCTCCACCTCCCGCTCCGAAGCGTGCGGCGGGGTGAAAGCTACCGGAGTGCCATCAGAGCAACAGCAAACTGGGGAGCTCACACGTTCCCGCCGTCACTCTCACAGAGGGCCCCGGGGCCGCTCTCCGTTCGCCCGGGGTTGGGGCAGGGACGGGCTGGGCAGCGGACAAGCCCTCGCTTGTTCCGTTGGGTGCGGGGAGCGCCGTTGCACAACGGAATTCATTTTTTACATTTTTAGGGGATGCTGCAAGGCGGCGGCGGAACCCGCGGGTTGCCGAGCACCCGGTGCCGGTGGGCCCGCGGCGTTGGAGGGCGCTGCCCCTTTAAATCGCGGCGACGCGGAGCAGGGAATCCCTCTCGCGGCGCGTCATCCGCGGAAAGGAAACCCGCGCTGGCGTAGTGCGACGCAAATGCCCATTTTTGGAACGTGCGACAGTGGACGGCACCAAGAGGCTCCGGCTGGGCGGGGGAGGGGGGCAGAGATTAACGGGAACCTACCGGCAGCCGGCGGGCGCGAGTTGGGGGCGAGCGAGGGAAGAACGCGGGACGCGCGGGCCGCCGGCGGCAGCTCGGAGCGGCACGGAGCCGGGGCGGAGCGCGGGGAGCGCCGCCCGCCGCCCGTCCCCACCCGCGGGACAGGTGGGCGGTTCCGGGCCCGGAGGGGCGGGGCGGTAGCGCCGCGGGTTTGACGTGTGCGGGTGCACATGGTGCGGCGGCGGCGGCGGCGCGGGGCCGGATAAACGGCGCGTGGGGCCGGGCGCTGCCAGTGCCCTGAGTCACGGCGGGCACCGCGCTGGAGCGGCATCCGCGGCTCTGAGTCACCGCGCGCGGGAGCGGCGCTTTTAGCGAGGGGCGTTCGGGGGCGGGAGCCGCTCCGCCCGCAGCCCCAGGGCCGGGGCCGCGCCGCCGGCGGGGCGAGTTCGGGCGGCGCGGAGAGAGAGGACGCAGCGCACGGGGCTGCGCCCGCCTGAGCCCCGCTCGGCTCCCGGCAGCGCTCCGCCGCCCGCTCTCCCCGTAGATTTTTTTTTTATTATTATTTAGTCGGCTTTCCGTTTTTTTTTTCTTTTTCTTTTTTTCTTCCCCCGTCTTCTTCTCCCACTGCGGACTCTCCCCTGCTGCGGGAGGCGCGAGGCAGAGCCCGAGAGGTCGGCACGGAGCAGGGGGCGGGGAGACGGCGAGGGAGCGGCGGCCGCGGCGCGGGAAGGCGGGGACGCGGCTCCCCCGGGCCGGCCTCGGACCATGTACCAGGACTATCCCGGGAGCTTCGACACCTCCTCCAGAGGCAGCAGCGGCTCCCCGGGACACCCCGAGCCCTACTCCGCCGGCGCAGCCCAGCAGGTAGGGCAGGCTCTGCCCCGTCTCTTTCGGGCGGGGTGGGCGCAAGCGAACGCGACTCCGAGGCTGGAGCCGCGCGATCGCATCCCTGCGGTTGGGACCCGCGTGGGTATGGGGGGACCGCGCTCGGAGCTCCCGTCGGGGCAGCGCCCCTCGGCAGCGCGGCGGTCCCCGTCTGTCCCCCTTCTCTCTGCCGAGCGGCTCTCCGAGCGGTCCCGCGGAGCTCCGGGCCGTCACCCCTACGGAGCACACGCGCGGCCCGACTCTTATCCCTGCGGCCCCCCAGCGCTCTCTCTCCCCGTCCTGCTGCCCTGGCTCCATGCTCCGGCTCCGGGCGGTGCGGGGCTGCGCGCTTCCGTCGGGGCCGCTCCGATCGGCGACTGCGGGGCTCGGGCGGTGAGCGGGACGGCGGGGACGGGAGCGGCTTCCTCGAAGCCGGGCCCAAAGGGCGCGACGTTCCATAGCCCGTCTTTCCATTTTCTTAAGAAAACGTTCAAAAATAGGTTCTTTGCCTATGTAGCCCCAATCCACCACTTCGGTGGAAGACGTTACACAACCGGGGCAGTTATACAAACCGAGGTTATTTCATAACTTGTTTACATCGGCCCGCCTCTCCCCACTCTTTGGCGTTTTCAGAGTTGCGCTCCCCCCTTTCTCCCAGTACTGTTCTTTCTCGGGTGGGTCTGCGCGAACGGTCTGGCGGCGGGAGCGCCTTGCCGCCTCCCATCGAGAAGCCGTAGGATCGTTATGAAGGGGGAAAAAAAAAAAAAGAAAAACAAAACCAAAAAAAAAAAAAAAACAAAACGAAAAAGTCTGCTCTTAAACTTTGCCAACCGTACCAGCCCGTGACATTCCTCACATTAAAGAAGTTTTACCAGAAATGACGCCGCGGTTCCCGGCCGCCTTCGAACGCATCTCGCGGGTGCCCTCTGCGGGCCGCGCAGCGCCGAGCGCGGACGTCTCCGTGTCCGGGAGCGGGATCAGGCGCTCCTCCTGACAGCGGCCCAATGCGGCCCCTCCGCTCCCTCCTCCGGCGCGTGTCCCGCCCTCGGCACTCGCCCGCAGAGCCGGGGGTCTCCGGCTGTGCCCGGAGTTCGGGCTGGCCTAGGGGCTGCTAACTCTGTTTCTCTCCGTTTCTCTCCTTTTCCTTCATGTGCTCTGGCGGAGTCTGTCCGTGTGTGTGTGTGTATGTGTGTGTGTGTGTGTGTGTGTGTGTGTGTGCCACGGCACAGCCCGGTCTCTGAAGTGGCGGACACGGGCTCAATAAGGAACTTGGCAGGAGCAGAAGGGTTTTCTCGCAGAACGCAGGCGATATCTCGAGGCATCTTTCCCTTGGTCCCTGCAGATGTTGTAGATTAGGATCGCATGCGAGCGCTGCCTTCCCCCAGGAATGGGGCTGTTCTGCTGATTCCGGGTTGGGCAGATCTGCAGGGCTTTATCGCCACAGAAAATATGCATTGCAGAAATTTTTTCTTCAGCGTTTTTCTTTTTTTTTTTTTTTCTTCCTAAAGCAAGGGAAGACGTACCAGTCACATGCTTGAGTGGAAACTGTGTCTCTGGGCCAAAACTTTGATGCTTTTTAATTATTTTTCCCATACAGCACAGCACTGGAACATTTTTTCTTTCAAGTTGCGTGCCGTGCTCTATTCCCCCCATCGCTGCCTTGCCATGTGGTACACACAGCCCCTAATGGGAATAATTAGTATGCTCTCAGACTGGGCTACTTCTCTCTGATATCCCAGCACTGTATCCAGTCCTCCGAGGAGGCGTTCAGTGTGGGACAACCGTTGGGACCTTTTATTTGTTAGAGGGTTTGGGCCTGTGCTCTGTATTGGGTAACTGAGCATTAGTGAAGACCCTCTGGGTGGATTTTTGGGAAGGTATTTTGATGTGTATTTTCCTTATCTCTCTGTTTCCGAGCTGGGCATGCCCTGCAGCATGTCGCTCCCAGCAGGGCCAGGGCCTCCTCGGGGCCGGCTCTGGTGAGGCAGAGCCAGGGCCAGGCTCAGCTCTTTGTGCTCCTAACAACACTCCTCCTCGCTCCTTGTTCTGCGTGTGTAATGATACCTGTGTCCGTGTGTTGCTTAGGTTGGGTGGAGAGCAGGAGCAGAGTGCGTGCTGTGCGTGCGGCCCTGCGGTTTGGCTGTCGCCCAATCTGTCCGTGTAGATAAGGAGAGCTGAGAGCTGGTGGAGGAGTGCCCCTGGGAGCAGGAGCAGTGTGTGAAGAGGTGGGCAGGCACACGGGCACGGCTGTGGTGAGCTGTCCTGGCGGGATGGCTTGGTTATGCAGGCAAGGCCTGGCCGTGTCGGAAGCGCACCATAGGGAAAATCCAGCAGCAGCCCCGGTACCCTTATCTAAAGGCTCAGCAGTGTGCCTCCTGTTTAAGTATCTGGGGAAAATATTGCTTCTGGAGAGTACATAATGTGGGCTTGGGGGAATTCTTAAGATATTTTGAGGGATGAAAAAGGAAACCAGTGGCAGTAGTGGGGCATGGCACAGACAGGCTGTAGCCAGCATGGCCTCATGCTTTGGCCCGAAAGCGAGCAGGGAGATGTGGCTGAGCTGAGCACCTTCCTTTGCTGTCCAGGAAACCTGTGCTGGGGGTGCAGGAACCTTCTGCTTGAAATAAAGGGATGTTTGCCAGTGGCTCCTATGACATTCAGATGATGACAGTCACTTGATTAGTAACTTGGGGCTGACTTGTGTCAGATGTTTGTATCTTACATGGCTGATTTGGTGATGGGTCTGACTCTCCTGGGCTCTGATGGGAGTCTGTAGCAGGTCAGTGAGTGGAGGCTACAGTGGTGTGGCACCACCACAGAGATCCTTTCCTCTGGAACACAAATGCTGTCTGCATAGCAAAGCACCAAAAAATCTCAATGCATTGTGCAGCCATATCTTCTAGTATCCCTATAAAGAAGGCGGGATGCTTCTTTCTCTCTGTTTGGGTGCAGGAAGGCTGGTGGTGGCACAGGTGGGTAAAGGTCGTGGAGGAAGGCACTTGTGGAACTGGCAGCAGAACTTGCATCTCTTGATGCCAGCACCTGTAGTTTAACTTGTCTTGCACTTTGTGCCTACTGTGAAGTTCAGATCTCTTCATAATGATGTGATGGCTGTGGAATCACTGAGTCGTCCTCTTGTGGGCAGTGTGGTCACAGTCTACACTGGGCAGAGTATAAAGAAGGGGATTTTCCTCAGTAAATTCTTCTGAGGTGTTTACAGTGCTCAGCTCTGGTCCTCTGTTAGCAGAGCTCATGAGGATGGCATTTACTGATGTGTGTGGTGCACTTTGTGTCGGGCCCCAGCTGCAGGTGAACTTCAGAGGTTCTGGTGCAGCTTCTGCCAAGTCTCAGTGCCATCCTGTCAGCATTGTTCCCCCATTCCATTCACCAGATGCACTCCTGCCTTCTCTCATCCTTTCTTGTTAGACTTAGGGCTATCCAAAGCTATAAAGTGGCATTTATCTGTGTTCGAACTGGATCTTCTGGTCTGCAGGCTTTGGCAGCAGGGTGTCTTCTGGATAAATCTGGCCCAGAGTGCTGTTGCTATCAGAATGTGGAACACTATTTGCAGTAGCCTTGCTTTAACAAAGCATTTGGGCATGGTGCTTGACTAGGCACACCCTGAAAAGGAAACCTGTGAAGTGCTGTCCCTTATCTAGGACACTTACCTGGGCTGAGGTCAGGCTGATGCAAGGGCTCTCCAGTCCCTAGGAGGCTGCTGTCCTGACCAGAGAGCGGGTGTTTTTCACAGGACCATTTAAATGCTGCAAGCTGCGGGTCCTATGAGCCCCTGCCCTCAGCAGTGGGTTGGGAGGCAGCTGGAGCAAGGCGTGCCTGTCTGTAAGGCCCGGTCTCACCATTGAAAGTCTCCTGATGGGAGCTCTTCATAGACAAAAGCATTCCTCCTCCCCTGCTTCCCCCTCCGGGGACAAGCAATTGTTTTCCTGGCAGTTTAGTGCCAGCATATTATCCAGATGGATTTACCTCTGTCTGAAATAAGGTGTATGTGTATTTTTGAGATCATTACCTACTGCCTTGGTTTTTACTGCTGCCTTGTTTTGTCTAGACAGTGCAGAGAGCTGCAGGGAACTTGTCCGATCTCAAACCTAAGAACTATTTTATAGGCTGCTATTAAAATACATATCCTTGCATGTAACCATCCTGGGGCCGGGCTTCTCACACTGTGTGCGGCAAGCACAGAACCTCAGAGCAAGAGGTGAACTGCTGTTCTCTCCATACCCAGCTTCATGCAGACCAAGCAAGGATTTTGGGGGAATCCTTTGGTAGGAGGCTTTGCTCTGTTTAGTAATGGCACTTCAGAGCTCAAGTTTCTCTTCCTTTTCTTTGGATTGAGAGAAGTGTTCTTCTAGAAACTCCTTAATTCCCCTTTTGCCCTGTGTTGGAAAGACCTGAGGAGGTGGGGAACAAGGATAGGGCTGGGTGAGGGCATGGCTGCTGCGAGAGAAAGTTCACAAGCCAAACATTTGGCGCTGGGCAGACCAGGATGCAGCAGGGGCCAGGGCCAGCAGTGCTGTGTTTACTTTGGGCACTGCTCTGGTCCTTGCTGGGGCCACTCCTGGGGTCTTATGTGTAGCTTCTGAGGATGTGTGTCGTGTTCTCCTTTCACTGACAATTTATTCTCTCTCCCTCCCTGCCTTTCCTCCTAGAAATTTCGAGTAGATATGCCAGGATCAGGCAGCGCTTTTATCCCCACGATCAACGCCATCACAACCAGCCAAGACCTGCAGTGGATGGTGCAGCCCACCGTCATCACCTCCATGTCCAGCCCGTACTCTCGCTCACACCCATACAGCCACCCGCTGCCACCGCTGTCCTCGGTGGCCGGACACACGGCCCTACAGCGACCGGGTGTGATCAAAACCATCGGCACCACAGTGGGACGGAGACGAAGGGATGAGCAGGTAACCGTGTAGGGAGGAGGATGCAAGGCAGTCGATGGCGCGGGTATAGATTTCCCCTATACAAAGGGAATCTCCCACTGCGCTCTCACAGTGTCACCCCTGGGGTCCCCCCATGGGGACAGCAGAGGTCTGCCCCACGCTCTGTACCTCCGCTGGTGTTTCTCAAGATGATGCATAGTGTGAGCTGCACAGTGCTTTTCTTGCTGCTTCCTCAGTGTGTGACACGATTCAGCCGATCTCCATCACAGGCCTTGTGACACCAGGCTGCGTTGCGGCTGGGTTTCAGGAGCAGGTGAAACTCTCAAGTTGAGCCTTGGGTTTCGGTCTGAGTGTTTCTGCTGCTCCAAGCAGAAGGAAGCCCCTGAGCAACCGGAGCTTCACATAGGTAATTCACAGAACTGATGCCTAGATTACATCAGTGGGTGTTTTCTGTTGGCTCTGTGACCACCTGTGCTGCTCCAGTCTCACTTTGGGTGATACAGGGGCCAGCCAGTTTCATGCAGGGAGGATCAGCTCCCCAGAACACATCCAGTCTCACAGAGAACCTTCAGGATGCTATGATCTACACCCCTGACCCTCACCCTGACCTCTTCACAGCAACAAGATGGGTATCCTCCAGGTGCTGCCATCCTGGTGGCATTCTCATAGTGGGGTGGGGAAGCTGGTCCCTCTTCTGCCCATGCCTTTGTAAAGCCAGTCTGAAATATCTGAAACTCCCCAAATCGCTCTCAAGCAGCAGTTCTGTGGGTTGCCACAGAGAAATGTAACAGGATGTGCTGTGCGCCCTCAGTGTATGAGCACACTGCTGCGTGAGGCCTGTTCTCAATAAGATGCAGCAGCCCTGCTGTTATTTCTGCATCATCTGCTTGGATTCACACTCCCAATTATTTTCTGTGGTGTGGATCTCTAAAGGACCCAATTGGGATCTGAAAGGCTCACTGCAGGCCTGTGTGTGCTGGGCAGGATAGGTGCTGTCCCTTCAGCCAGGCTCAGCCACCTACCGTCCCAGCATACAGGGCTGGTTCCAGTGCTGGGGGAATCTCTCATGAGAACCAGGGGAATAATTAGCAGAGACTAATTTGTTTGACAAATGCTGCCTCTGTGTTCACAAATTGGCCATGAAGAGATCACCATATTCTCTGGTTTATTTGTTGTTCAGAGTTATTTGCAGAAGGATGCCTGCCAAGCAGTTCCTGGCCTGTGGCTTGTTTGCAGGCTATTTGCTATGGGTCAGATTCAGATCCAAGTCCCTTTGATTAGACACGTGCTATGGCAGGACCCAGACTGTGTGCAGTGACTCTTTGGCTCAGGTTTCCACTGCTGGTGCTTGCCTTTTTGGAAAATGTTGTGTAACGTTGTAGGAAAAGAGCCTGTCTTGATGAATGGTTCTGCCAGTGACTGCATGCATGGGGTTTGGACAAGCGACAGCTATAGTTCGTGAGTGCAGCAGGGACACCGAGAGTGCCAAAGCAAACTGCTTGTAAATAAATTTAGTGCAGCTTACAGAATATGCCAATACCCATTATAATGTAAAGCAGGCTCAGATTCACCTCTTCAGCCCCATATATGAGATTGTTTTAAAAAAACGTAACTTCTGAGATAGATAACTTAAAAATGACTGAAGGCCTTGAGAAGACTCATTTTGGTCCCAATGTCTTTCAGTGAGATCTGAGCTCCTGAAAACCACACACAGAGACCTGGAATCATCCCTGAGTTCATGTGCATGTCTGATGCTTTGCCTTATGGATACAATTGCACAAATATACTTTATCCTGCATACCTACAGGCTGCAAATGGAGCGGTCAGAGCCATGCTGGGTGTTCCTGCTGGGGCTTCTTATGGGGCTGAGGGTACCAAAACCCACAGAGGGAGGTGCTCCTGTCCCAGGACAGAGCGCCGTTATCTACTGGTAGAGGAGCTCTCAGGCCCAAAGTCTTTGTCCCGGAGTCCCAACTAGCAGCAGAAGTGCCTCTGTCCCTTAGCGTGTGCTCAGAGGTGCACTGCCTGCTGGTGAAATTGTTGCCACCATGCAGCAGAGTCTGAAAAAAGCAGAACAGAGAGAGGGGAATGCCCAGTGGCTGAAGTAAACTCCCTGAAACTGTGGAGATCAAAATTAGGGAAATGAACGAAACCAAAACAAACCAAAATGAGGTTAGAATAAAACTAATGCAAAAAATGAAAAGGCAGCAGGAAGATAATCTTGTTTGCAATTTTGACATCTATGAAAATACTGAAACTGAAATCTTCTATGAGAAGAGGGTTTTCTTTTTTTATTTTATTTATTTACTTTTTTTACCAACAAGCACCCTGCAGAGCACTCATCTTGGTTTTGGGCTCAGTCACAGCAGTGCCAGAGTAAGGTGAGCCCTGAGCAGAGCAGGACGTGGCGTGGGTGTCTCTGGTTGCCACTGCTGGGGTTTATAAGAGCTCATCTCAAATCCCCAAAGCTAGGCCTGACCTCACCAGATCCTGCGGGCTCCTGCTCACTTCCTCTGGTGTCGCAAGAGTGTAACTCTATGGGTTTCTACGGAATCACTCCTGACTTATCAGTGAGGATGTCAGCTGGCCTCAGGAAGCCCTTGATATCACTGGAGCCTTGCTTGCTGATGTGAAAAGCAGTCTGTTATCACGCCGAGTGCTTGAAAATCTGAGGTCGGATTTTGGGGTGGTATAAATAATTGTTGCTTCACAGACATCGTGAGAGCTCTGCTGATCTCCCTCTCTCCCCCCACCCCATCCCCGACCTTCAAGTTAACAACTATTTTTGTGTGGGAAGCAGCAGATATTTTCTTTCAAGAAAGAGGCGCTTACAACATCACACTCTGGTTTTGCTTAATGTACCACCCAAGTTGTGAAACAATCAGAGCATCTTTTATCTGTTTGGCCTTGTTGCAGATTCACTGTCCTCTTACACAATCTCCCCCCACTGCTCCCCACTCTGCCTTCTCCTCACCCTTGTGCTAAGACCTGGTGCTAGCAGAGATACTGGGTGCTTTCATCTTCTGCTGACATCAGTGGAGAGGGGGAGTGCTGAGCATCCTGCTGGATCAGGCCTTTTTTTCTTTGTGTTGCGGTTAAATCTTCACAAACTTCAAGGAATGCCTTGCTCAGATCTGATTGTGGGTTTTCTTGGCACTTGCCCATAGCTGTCGCCCGAGGAAGAAGAGAAGCGAAGGATCCGGAGAGAGAGGAACAAGCTGGCAGCTGCTAAATGTCGTAACAGGCGCCGAGAGCTAACAGAGAAACTCCAGGCGGTACGTGCTCTGCATGCATTTCTCCCTCCTTGTTGCCTGCCCTTTGGACCAGCTTGCAGGGTGTTGCTCTCTCTCTACCAACCTATCTAGGGAAGATGCTGTAAAATGCATTCTGCCTTCCCCTTCCAGGACTGCCCAGTGGCATTGCTCTTGTGTCAGCAGTGGTGAGGGCTCAGCAGCCTAACTTCTTCTCACTGGCTGCCCAAAACATCCTAGGAGATCTTTTCCCATACAGCCTGCTGACCAACACGTATCTCCCTATTCCAGGTCTCTTTCTGTAAGTGGAAATAAATGTGCTGTGTGCTTCAGATGAAATCTTTGAAAGCACACAAGACTTTAGTATCACCTGAAAACAGGAGAAAGTGAAGCAATGTTATATGTGCTTCTCTAAGCTACATCCTTTAGACTAACCTGTCTCTGGTGGGCGTAACTGATGGGTGTAACTCAAGGGGAGTAATGCAAAGATGTATGGTTTGGTGCCATTGGGGAATAGTTAAGTTAAAGAACGTAGGGATGAGTGCAAGAACTGTGGGGTGGATAAGACACTGGCTGAAGTGTAGACAAGGATGGGTTGCATTAACAGAGTCTATAGAGATTCCAGCACTCCTCTTCAAGAAGCAGCCTGGGCTTGGTTCTGTTCGAGCTTGTTGAGAATCACAGCTGTGAAAGCACATCGGTGAAATGTGCTGCTGACTCAAATCTGGGAGGTATTCTCAGTGCAGGGGAAGCTGGACAGCCTATAGGAAGAATTTAAGGATTCTCATGACTAAACTAATATAAGTGAGAGGAGTACAAACTAGGAGGACATATCCTGACAAATTGAGGGTGAGTACTTTTGCAAGCTCCTCACACAGGAAAATACTAATTGCTCACAGATTGACTATGAGCCATCAGTGTTACATGATCGTGGGAAAGGTAAATGGAGTAATCCTGGGGTGCATCAAGGGATAATACAGTGGAGATGAAAGTGTTAATCTTTTGCACAAGTCACAGGAGGGCCTCATCTGGAGTATGAGATACTGAAAGAAAATGAAAACAGTTGAGAGATAGCTTTATACTATCTGCATCTAGGAAATGAAAAGAACATGATTTAACCTTAGTACAAAACCCAATGGTAGAGGATCTGAGTCCTCTCTGCTAAAGTGTCTCTCAAGTAGGTAGCAAGGGAGAATAGGTGTTTAAGCCACAGAACAAGACAAGAGTTGTAGAAACCATCCATGAAATAACAAAGGTGAGCTCATGAGAAGACCATTTATATCCCCTAGATTGGTGAAGTCTGGAAATAGCCTTCAGGTAGACACAGGAAGTGCAAAATGCTGAACTAGCAGATACCTTGTGCCTTGCTCAAAGAGGCTGGGGTGTATCTGCCCACGCCAGCTGGGAGCTGGACTTGATGGCCATGTTCTAGGTCAGGAGCAGTGCCAGAACCTCAGATACTTACTTATTCCATTTTTGTCTGCAGGAAACTGAGGTGCTGGAGGAGGAAAAGTCAGTGCTTCAAAAAGAGATTGCTGAGCTCCAGAAGGAGAAGGAGAAACTAGAATTCATGCTGGTTGCTCACAGCCCTGTGTGTAAAATCAGCCCTGAGGAACGTCGGAGCCCACCAACCAGCAGCCTCCAGAGCGTTCGGACTGGAGCAAGTGGAGCAGTGGTAGTGAAGCAGGAGCCTGTGGAGGAAGAGATCCCATCTTCTTCTTTGGTCCTTGACAAAGCTCAGAGGTCTGTCATTAAGCCCATCAGCATTGCTGGAGGTTATTATGGGGAGGAGGCACTCAACACTCCCATCGTGGTGACCTCAACACCAGCCATCACTCCTGGTTCCTCCAACTTGGTGTTCACCTACCCCAACGTCTTGGATCAGGAGTCTCCTCTCTCCCCATCCGAGTCCTGCTCCAAAGCTCACCGGAGGAGCAGCAGCAGTGGTGACCAGTCCTCGGATTCCTTGAACTCTCCCACCTTGCTGGCATTGTAATCCCCTGAGGCCCCCCATTGCCAGTGTGTTACATCCCCCGCCCAGCTCCATGGGGAGACCTCTCCATGGGATTAGAGACAGGCACAGGATCGTTCAAGCACAAGGGCAGCAAGAACAAGAATGGGGAAATGCTGCAGCTCCAGGAAAGAGAACGAGGACCAACGCCAGCTCCCTGGAGGCAGGAAATGGCAAGGGTGGGACTGATGCACCAGGACTGATTGGAGAGAGCAGTGTCTCCTCTGTAGGGTCTGCCAATGGAAGTCTCGTCTCGGCACCATAGTGGACTTGGGGAGCACTCCTGGCCAGGACTGAAAGCGAGCTGCAGACAGTTGCTAGCCATCCCTTTCCTTTGTGAATTGATCTGATCGGTTATGCTCTGTGCTTAGATCTTTCTGGTTAGTTACCTTACAACTTCTTCTTTCCCCCTATCTCTCTCTGCCTATCATTTCCATTGTTGTCGATCCTATGACATTTCATCCAGTTGATCTGTACTCTAAAGTCTTGTTAGGATCTTTCTTGGGACAGGCTGTGGGAAACATGCACGGTTGCCTAGCTGGGAAGGGGATGCCTGGTGAAGGGGGGACCAAGAGGAGCTAAAGGGCTCAGTGGCAAGGGCAGAGCTCATTATCTGTGACACAGACACCATAAACAGAGAGAACAGGAGGCTCACATGGAGGACTTTTTTTTCTTAACGAGTAGATATACTTATCTCCTTGGGCTCCTCAAAAGCCAAGTTAGCATCTCAGGGCCGAAGTGGCATCAGAAAAGCTGCCGAGTTGGCACTTAGCAGTGTTTTTGGCAGGATTTTAGCCACAGTTTGGTAATACCAAATCTGCTGCTGGACTTGTTTAGTTCTCCTGGGCTGCCCGTTCTCTAGGGAGTATTGCATCTTACTTCCCATCAGGGCCCCTGACTCAGATGCTGATCTCTTCCTGTTAGTAAAGTTGTCCCCTCTCCTTGGTAATATTTGCAGAACATACAACCAAAAGAGGTAGTGCTGTGGAGACTGGCAGTGGTTAGGAGGGTGAAGGGATTTTGTTGTGCCCTTGATGACTTTCCTTGTTGGGAAACACGGCAGCACGCTTCCACACAGTTGATACTTGCTGGTGGAGTTTACTCAGAGCTTCTCAGTTTCCAAGGCTGGAGGAAGGCAGGAGTCCAGCCTCCAGCACAGCACAGGCCTTGAGGCACTCCTGACCAGGCAGCAGTGGTGTAGCAGAAGTTCTAATAACATCTGGTGTGACAAGTTGATATTGGAGAAAAATCAGTTATCATTTTTTGCACCTTGGTCTCTGGCTTTTTGTTGCTTTTTTGGCCTAAAGACCAAAAGCAAATTAGAGGGCTCTTCCACCAACATTGGGTCACTTTCTTCTCCAGCGTGTGGGCTTGGCTTCTAGTACTAAGTGCTCACAGATGGTAAAAGTGCTGAAGTTCACTGCTGAGAACAGTGATGTGTGAAACTATTCCTGCTTGGAGCCAAGCTCAGTTCCCATAGGTGTCAAGGCACTGTTGAACCAATGAACTTGTGCACGTGAGGATAGCTCTGCTTGCCAGTTAAGCTGCTTAGGGGATAGCTCTTTAGTCCAGCCTGTAGAAGCTGTGATGGCAGCTATTTATTGTGAGATTTTCTTCGTTATTATTGTCTTTAAATTGGTGGAAAATTGGGAATTTCTTGGTCAGGCTGGACCTGGAGAAATAAAGATGCAATGACAGGGTCAGTGCTGTGAGATGCTGAACTGCTGCAGCTCTTGCCAACTCTACTGGGAATTAATAGGGCCCAGTCCTGTGCAGGCAGACCTTTGCTCAGGTGGTCTGGATTCCCTCAAACTCTGGTCACTGCCTATTCCTTTAATAATTTCAAAGGGACACTATTTGGCTGTTTTTTGTTTGTTTTGTTTTTATTATTATTATTATTATTTTAAACCGAGTTATTTGCAAGAACTGCCAGCAATAGAAAGATGATTGATCTTTCTCCTTTGTAAAACTGATTCAATAATACAGGATTTTCCTTTGTTGCTTAAACATTTCCATTGTTGCTCTAGTGCTAGAAGTTTCAAATTGAGCTCTTTCAATAACCAAAGTTGATAAAGGAATTCTCCCCTCACATGATCATCAAAACTTTCTTTTAATAAAGTAGAGGCTTTATGAAAAAATCCTTAGGTGTGGCCTTCCTTGTACTCTATCCCCACATCTGCCAGCCTACAAATGCCATCCTAGCAACTAGAGATGTTTGTTACCACATTTGACATAGTCCTTCTCTGATGGCCCCAGATTGGTCTCTACAAGTTACCTGAGTGATTTGTTTTTTGTTTGTTTATTTGTTTTCCCCTAAATTGACAGTTCTTATATCAGGGACTCGCCACTCATCAATACCTGCTTCCCATCCCCATGGGAGAGGCATGTATCCCAAGAAAGTCAGTGACTCCTACCTTAGCTTTTGCTCCCTGAATTGTTTCTGGAAGGAGCTGCAACTGGCTCATGCCCACTGCATGTTGACCTGTCATTGATCTTCTCAGTAGTAGGACAGGAACATCCCCTTTTTTGTCCTGTGATACTGGTGGGGAGCAATTTGAAACTGCCCTGAAAAGACAATCACTTTCTGCTACTTGAAAGAGCCCTGAATGCCTTGTGCCTGCCTGTTCTCTCTCTCAAACCTCTGAGAGGATGTCTGTGTTGGGCTTGCTGGTCTTCTGCCTTTTGTATTTAGTGGATCAGCATTACCTTTGTTTAGTTGCTCGCAGACAGGTACAGCTTGAAGTCTCCTGCTGTTTTGTTCTGGCCCTCTGTAATTCTTTACAGGTTTACTGGTGTGCTTTTGGGAATTGAGTGTCTTCCCCACTCCACAAACTGTATTTGCCTTGAGTACCTTCCCCAGAGATTCCTAAACGTACAGTGTCTCCATGTTCTTCTGCACGTACTGGGGATGTTGGGTCAGTTTCTGAGCAGAAGTTGTGGAAGTTGATAGAAAAAGGCCTTGGGAATTTCAGCTGGTATTGAAGTGACCCCCTAGTGACTGGCCCAGTAAAACATCCAGCAACATCTGAAGTTAATCAGTGCCCAACTAGGAGTGGCAGTAGCAGCTGCTTGAAGGAGACGCTTGGCTTCCAGGTGATGTTCAGCATTCCAGTTTTGCCCTTGTTTTTCCTTCCTCCCTCCCTGGTTGTGGCACTGCCTTCATCCATTCCTTTCTCTTAGGTGTGGAGGTGGGTTAGTCTCAAACTGCTTGTGGTGTGATGGTATTTGGGACCAACCTGCTGGGGACAGTAGCTCTCTGTTGTGTTTTTTATAATTATTATTTAAATGATCTATTTAGTTCATCTGAACCTTTAATTTTGCTGCTTACTGTATGTAGGATCCACCTGGCCTTTATCCTAAATGAAAAGAAAACAAAAACAAACCTAAGACACCTCTCTCCTCCCTGGTATCTTATTATTTATTGGCAGGCAGCCGTTCCGTGCCTGCTCCAGCAGATCTGCCCGCCATTAATTTAACATCCTCACAACTTGCATTCCTGGTGTTTGGTTGTTGCTTTTCTGCTTTTTGTTTTGATTTTTTTTTTCCTTTCATTCCAAGAAAGACTTCTGAAATGTAAGAAATCTTATTGTTATGACACTTAGAAGTTCATTTTCATTAGGAAGGCCAAGTCAAACATTTTAAGAGGTGAGGGGAACAATCTACATTTTATTTCTTATTTATTTATCATGTTTACATCTTTTTTTTTTTTTTCTTGTTCAAGACTTGGATATAATAAAGAAAGCATTAAAAATATTCCAATTTTCTTCTTTTTTTAGGTTTTTTTTTTTTTTTTTTTTTTTTTTTTTATTCTTTAAATAAAAGATTCTGGGCTTCACTGTCTGTATTAAATGTAAAAAAAAAAAAGAAAAAAAGAAAAAAAAAATGTTTCTAAAGATGCATTATCATTCCTCTGTGAACAGTAGGTGGAGTTGAGGAGAAATCTCAGAATACAAGATAATAATAAAGTTCCATACTGTTTTACTTAATTGTTCCCCTCCTATCCTGTATGATTAAAGGGTTATTCCACTTTCTTGTTTGTGGTTACTTGATATTAAAACCATATTAAAATGTGTAGAAAATAAGTATCCAATTGTTTTTTGCTCAGTGAGAGGATAAAATGTTGTATATATCTTGATATACTGTGTAGTTCAAAGTAACATCAATAAGGGATAGTGCATCTTTATTAGAGCGATAAGTTACTAGTGTCACTAAAGTCTACTTTAAGATCCTCAGACATAAAAAGGGATTCTGGTTCCACGTCCCTGGGGAAATGGAAGGCATCGGTAGCATTTTGCTGCTGCACAGTGGGTGTCAGAGATGGAATTGAGCCTCAGCGATTAGTATGCGACCATGAGGGTTGTTGAAGGTTTGGGGGCACCATCATCTTTTTTTCCTCAAAAGTTTTAGCTCATGGGTTTTGTTTTGTTTTGTTTTGTCTGCAGTGGAATAGTTTCTGCCAAGGAGGTTCTTAAAGGTGACTACTGAATTGGAACCCTTCTTTGCTCGTTGTGATCTTGGTATCATTCTTGCAGTCCTGGAGAATCTCAGCTCTGAGGTGTTCTCTCTGGTGCTGTCTCTTCTCTGTTCTTGTTACTTTACTGTAATACAGGCCTACAGTATTTGCACTAAAACAAAAAGCTTGTTAGAGAAAGCTTGCTGCTATGGAAGAAAGAACATATTAAAATGGTTTTGCTTTTAAAATTTTAACTGAGTAGTATTTTGTAGAATAAAATCAATTTAGACTGAAAAGAAAAATGACTTTTCTTTTTTCCTCTGCACTCCCTCCCCCATTCTCCTTTCTTTCCTTCCTGTTCTTGGTGTGATGGTTCCCCCCCCTTCTCCTTTGGTGCTCAGTTGTAATGATTGGCTGTATTGTTGACTATGCTGCTGAGAGTTATGACACTTGTAAATCTTGTTTTAATGACATTGTGGACACTTTTGTATAGCAAGAGCTAACTGGAGTTCTTCTCTCTCTGTTAATTGAAGTCATTAAAAAGCTCCCTTTGCCATGAACAATTAAAAGCTCGCATGTTCCTTCGATATGAACAAATGGGTACAGCATTGCCAGGTGCCTGGCTGTAGTACATTTCAGTGCTTCTTTCATTAGAGCAGCTGCAATCTAGACAGCTGTTAGCAGCAACAATGGTAAATTGGGCAGAGGCTAGCAGAGCAGACCACCTGGGCTAAAAGGCAAATAATGCATTAATCCTTTCTTCTTTGCTTCAAAAAGAAAGGAATAGAGCCAGAAAATGCATGCTGAGGTGACCTTATTATTTTATTTTTTAATCCACTGCTTCAGCCAGAAAGACTCAAAGCTTCTGCTCTGAAAGCTTGGGGTGGGGTGGACACCATGGCTGCTTCACTGGCAGAGAGAAGGAGGTTAATACAGGATTGTCTTGCTCACCTGGGAAAAGCTGCAGTCTGGAGCGGAGGAAACCCAGACACTGCAGGTTAGGAGTGGAGGATGTCATATTCAAGTAAAAATACTGTGGTGGGGAGGAGATGTTGGGTGAGTCATTGTTAGCCAACATGGCGTCGGGCCAAGCTGCTCGTTACTCATGGATTTCCTTAGGAGTAATGTCTGCTTTGGCTTCCTGCTGGTCCCTGTCCTCTCTCTTTTTTCACTGTGTTCTCACAGTGCCATAGGGGAAGGTGATGAGAGATGTCGGTGCAAGTTATGTGGCTTGTATATGGAAATATTTGTGAAGTCATGGGGAATGCTGAAGGTATCAGTCACCAGAATGGGGAATACGTGCACATGCCTGCGTGAAGTGAGCTCAGCAGTCAGGAATCCGTGTTGTAGGAAAGCTGACATGAAGTTGTTGTAGGACAGCACAGGCTGTAGAGCCGGAGACAACTTTGGGGTGCCCCATGGTGCTGAGGATGCAGAGGGTGAGGAAAAGCCTCTGGGAGGCTTCTTCCAAATTTACTTATCCTGGTGGAGCTGAAGGAAAAGTAGTTATTCTTTGGGGGTGAGGGGGTGGCAATCATAAGGAAATTTGCTGAAGGACCCATCTTTTAATATCTGTCTCCACAGAGCCTCAGGCGTAGTGGAGTCCCCATTTGATCTCCTACTACATGCAAGCTTTCTTGAAGGGGAATGCCTGAAGCGATTCCTGCCTCACCAAGGGCTTTGCCATTACACTGGTGCATATGGGCCAGCCCCAAGGTCTGTCAAACCGGCTCCTCTGGCAGCAATCCCTGCTCACTTCCCAAAATGACAAGCAGAAGGATACATCCTTGCCTGCCTCCTGCCACCCTGAAGTGCTCCCTAAGGTCCTGGTAGCTGGCAGTGACCTTCCAAAGGGGTTAATGTTGTTTGTCTGCAAATGCTATTTGCAAGACTAGGCCTCCTACCTGATTTCTTCCCAGCACCAACTGGTTGCAATGATCTTTTGTCATCGTTAGCTTACAGGTGCTGGAATGTCCACACCAGGTGCCATAATTTGGTTTTGAAGGATGAAATTACACAACCAAGCAAACCATTTTCCACTGGTCTTCTAGCTGGGGGAGGCTGAATTCTATCACACTGACACGGAAGTTGTGTTTTTCCCAACATCCTCATCTTCTTTTATTTAGATCTTTGCTCCATGTAGGGAATTCCCCCTCGTTTGGAAACAGGCTCATCTCCCCCCACCCTGCAATGCCCAGATCTTGTTGTGCAAGTGAGGGACCTGGGTGTTATTGTGGGACAGCTGTTTGCTCCCTGGTGGAACTGTGCTGGACAGGAGGGTGCCTGTTCCTTCTGCAAAGAAAGGACATAGAAACCATCTGTTACAATGCTTGTATCATGATGAGTTGATGGCCCGATAGCGTATTTACTGTGTACATGCATTAAGAGGTGATCCCAACTCCCTTTTGCCTGTTCCTTCCCCCTTGCACAAGACTTGTCCCTGAATTTTCCTCACAGTCACATTTCTGAGTGAAGTATCAAGAAAAAAGGTTAATCTCTGGAAAGCATGGGAGGGCAGCCTGATCTTAAAGGTTCAGAGGTTTCTTTCTATACGCACCTGGTGTAGTTAAGCTTGTGCTCTCTGCTGCTCCTCAGTGGAGGAGAGACCCAACCAGAGCTTTTATGGCAAGAACAAACCCAGAGGAGTGACCTGAATGTATCAAACCAGAGGTGGCAATGTGACGT